AAGATACCCATGGGGACTTCTGGTGTCCCAGACATGCAGGGTGTCTTGTCTCCATGGGGATTTTGACTAAAGTGGTAATGGCCTTGGATTTTTTTCCCAACTGCTGCTAAGGAACCCTGGTGGCATAGTGGGTAAAGTGTTGTGATGCTAACAGAAAGGTTGGTGGTTCAAACCCTTTCTGCAGTAGAGAGATGTGGCAGTCTGTTTACCTAAAGATTTACAGCTTCAGAAGCCCTATTGTTGTTGTTGTTGTTAAGTGCCATTGAGTCAGATCCGACCGATAGCGACCCTATACAGAGTTTCCAAGGAGCGACTGGTGAGCTTGAACTGCTGATCTTGCAGTTCAAACGGCTTTGCAGTCTGGTGCATAAACCCACAGCGCCACACCAGGACTCCTCAGAAGCCCTATGGAGCAGTTTTACTCTGTACTCTGGAGTTGCTTTGAAACTGGGTTGGTTAGAAAGCAGTGGGTTTTGTATTGTTTTGCTCTCAATTGTGAACAAAGACACTGAAGTGAGGATGTCAGCTGGTTCAAGCTCTCCCTCACTTTATAGTTTAGAATTGTTTAAAAGTTTCCCAGGGGCTCAAGCTTTAATGTCATTCCCCCTCTGGTCAAAAGAAACTGCATGGCAAGCAGGGGTGGAAGAGGGAAAAGAATGAAAATGGGATGTGAATCTCTTCTCTCACCTGGCTTAGGAGCCCCTGATATCCTGGGGACTGGTGGGGTGTGTGTTCCATTCTGAATTTGAGAGCTGATCTCTTGATGGGAGGCAATATTAAAAAAACACACTTTTTAGTGTGAGTTGAATGAAGCTTTATAGAGCATATCATCAGTTTTACATTAAGCAAATGATACACTTCGTTTCATCTTGATTACAATTCCCTCAATGCAACAGCACTTATCCCACTTCCTCCCTGTTTCTTGTTTTCATTCCTCCTTCTTTCCCTACCCTTCTGAATTTTGTCCTTAGGTGAATGTTACCCTTTTGATTTCAAATTGTTGACTATATTCTATGGTGTGCATACCTCGCTAGTGTTGTTCCCTCTATATACCTATCTATTGCTTGGCTGAAAATTGGACTACAAAGATGAGTTCAGTTCCAGACCTCAAGGGTGACCAACGGCCATAGTCTCAGGGTTCTACCAGGCTCTTATCTGAACAGTAAGCCTGGTGTCTGTTAGGATTCTGAGTTTTGTTCCATATTTTTTCCCACTCTGTTCTAGGACCTTGTTAACGTGACCCCTTTCAGAACAGTTGGTAGTGGTATCCAGGTTCTGTCCAGTTCTTCTGGTCTCAGGGTCAGGAGTACTGATTTTTGTATGGTCCATTAACCTATTGAACTAATTGTTTCCAAAAGTCTTCCATTTTCATCACTCTTCTTTCCTCCAGACAGGGAGAGACCAATAAATAGTTGTACCTTTAATTACCACTCATGAGTTTTTAAGATTCCAGTCACTACTCACCAAAGGAGAATGTAGAACATTGTCATTGTGGACTCTGTTACTGGAGGCAACATTTTCTTTCTTTCCTTCCTTCCTTCCTTCCTTCCTTCCTTCCTTCCTTCCTTCCTTCCTTCCTTTTTATTGTGGATTATGTGATAGTTTACTTGGGAGAACATTAGGTTTACATTTATCCTATTGTATATCATTTCATTGCCATGATTACAATCCCCTCCATGCATCATCAAATAACCAAAGGGTATACCCCACAAGCCTGCCCTCAGCCCCTCTCGCTCTCTGAGTCTAGAGTTTCCAGCCACTCCATCTCTCCACGTCATCATCTCTACCTCCATCTCTGGCATCACTGCTTCTCTGGGTAGGGTCCCGCTCTCCGCTCTTCTCCCTTGATGATCCCAGGGACCTCCGCTCCTAGACTGCAAAGTCAATCACTCCCTTCCTTGCTACAAAACATCTACCTTTACATTTCCAACCTTCACAGTCGGTCCTGATAACAATTATTCACTATTGTACCACAAGAGACTTATCCGAATCTCCTTTCACCAGCCCCGCCCAGACAGATTGGATACTACTCAGTGGAGATTCTACCTTCTTTTGTGCCATCTGGATCTAGGTGGAGGCAACATTTTTAATTGTGAATAAATAAGTCCTTGGGTGGCACAAATGATTTCCTCCAGACTGTTAATTAAAAGGTTGATGGTTCGAATCCACTCAGTGCAGTGGGAATAAAGGTTTGGTGATCTACTTCTGTAAAGATTATAGGCAAGAAAAGCCTATGGAGTATTTTATACTCTGTAACACATGTAACATCATGAATCAGAATTGACTCCATGGCTATGGATTTGGTGTTTATTATAACTTGGGCTATACAAGTAAAAAAAGAATTGATCAGTTCTTGTAGCCAAATCCAGGAAAGGGCAGGAATGCTTGAGACAAGAGCCTCGGGGACTTTCCTCTCACACCTTTTCTATGGTGTTGGTGCCTGTCTCCCAAGCTAGCTTTCTCCACCATCTTCCAGATGTTACCAGCATAAAGGAAGAGGCGCCTTTCCTTAGTTTCTATTTAAAAAGCCTAAGAAGTCTAGGAATCCTGGTGTGGCACTGTGAGTTAATACGCTGGACTGCAAAGTTGTTTTAACAGCAAGGTCAGCGGTTCAAGATGCCCAGCTGCTCCTCAGAAACCCTATGTTGTTGTTGTTAGATGCCATTGAGTTGGTGCCGACTCATAGTGACCCTATGCACAGCAGAATGAAACACTGCCCTATCCTGGGCCAACCTCACTGTTGTTGCCACGCTTGAGCCCATTGATGCTGCCACTTGGCCAATCCATCTTGCTGGTGGTCTTTCTCTTTTTCTCTGACCCTCCACCTTACCAAACATGATATCCTTCTCCAGCGACTGGTCCCTCCTGACAATATGTCCGAAGTATGAGAGACGAAGTTTGGCCATCTTGGCCTCCAACGAGCACTCTGGCTGCACTTCTTCCAACACAGATCTGTTGGTTCTATGGGCACAATGGGTCGGAACCAACTCAATGGCACTTAACAACAATAACAACAAAAAGTCTCTGGCAGCCTCAGCTTGGTCTTGTCCTAGGACCAATCACTGTAGCCAAGGGCAGGAGAAATTGTGACTCAGCTTGGGTGAGATTCCCTCCTCTGGCCATGCAGCTGGTGTAGGAGGTTAGATCAGTAAGATGTTATTGCTAGTTTCTCTGACTCATGGCCATCTTATCTTATCTACAACAGAACAAAATGTTTCTGGTCCTCACCATCTTCATTGTTTTTGTTGTTAAGTGCCATGGAATTGATTCCAATTCATAGCTCCCCTGTATAGGGTTTTTGAGGGGCAGCTGGTGGGTTTGAACTGCCAACCTTGTGGTTCCCAGTCCAGAGCTGATCTTACAGTGCCACACCATCGTCATTATTACTAACGTATTTGAGTCCATGGTTGTGGCTGCTGTGTCATCCACAAAGCTTCCCTCATTTTCGCTGACCCTCTACCAACCACGATGTCCCTTTCTAGCAATTGGTCTTTCCTAAGCTAGGAATTTGGGAAGCCCCAAGTAATTTGGAATCCTGATAGATCATACATCTATAAGATAATGTAAAAAAGTAGAACTCCCCCCCACCCCCCACCCCTCCATATTTCTAGGGCTTGATACTCTTTAGCTGACCTTGAGATTCATCACTGACATTCCAGTTTCAGAAATGCTGCCTCATCCCTCATGTTAGCATGAATTTGCTTTCTGGTGGCCCAAGGCCACAAGTCTGTCTGCAAGAGGTGGGGTGGGATGCAAAAAACTCTTAAGATGACGTGCTCCTTTTTTCTGCCTTGTAGGTTCCCAAAGAGGTATGTGAGTACCGACTGAGATGCTGCCCTTTTGGTAAGATGTGGCATGGCTGCCTCCAGGGCAGGCTCGGCAGACTCGACTTCCTCTGCTGAAAGTCCGCTCTCCCACAGACAGGTGCCCACATGACCCAGTGAGCCGGTAGCCCTGAGTCCCACGCCTTCTCTGTACATGGTGGTCTGACCAGAGCTAGCTGATTACAGCAGAGTTCAGGTTCCCATTGGTCTGAGCAACAGAAATAAATCATAAATGCCCTGGTCTCTGACGAGAGTAGTATACACTGACTTGATATTTTTAGTTTTCAATAATTTATAACCAAGTTAGAGAAATCCATCATCAGTATCATATGTAATCCCTGGGGTTTCATTCTGCCACCCTTGGGTTATGAAATGCATCTCAGCTAGGTGAAGGTAGGAGCCCTGGGCAGCCCTCAGGGTGAGGGGTCCAGCATTGCTAATGCTACAAGTGCTTTCCCGGGCATGGTCTTGGCCTCCTGGTGGCAGCCAGCACGCCACTGTAGTCCCAATAAATTCCAGCCCTGTGATCCTCTTCTTAGTTTTATGTTGGAACCATCTAGGGAACTCTAAAAAATCAATGCCCAGGCTGTACCCACATCAATTACACAAGAATCTTTGGGGTAGGACCAGGTGCTGAGCATTTGGAAAAAAATTGCCCAGGTATTCCAATGTGTGGCTAAGGTTGCAAACCGCTTTTCTGTCTGGGATGTCTTCCAGCTGGGATCAATTGCACTAATTATGTATCGGTATGTTTGTCCTTTATTGTTCTCATTCCCATTGCTAAGGGTGCATGCACAAGCTTAACTAGCTACAGCTTGTTCCAATGAAACTGAAATTCACGGGCTCTATCCCATGCCTTAATCCAACACTGCAGATTACTGGTCTACGGCTGCCTATCGTATCACAAATGTATGCTATTGATGGTGGAGGGCAACAGACAAGGGAGTACTAGATGCTTCAGGCAAAGAACTCTTCCTTACTAGAAAGAAAAGCAAAACCTAAGGTCAGTTCATTTGTGGTAGTTCCCACCAGGAATGTTACATTTACAAGAGTAAGAAGTCAGAGTCACATACAGTGGGAACAGTCCCCAACAGTGCCACATGGTACTACCCTCAATATGCCACTATGGATCATGTGTTCTGCAAGTGCCTGGGGCCCTTCAGGTCTCAAATCACTGCATTAGAGCCCCTTGGAAGGTCTGTGACAGCAGACTGCTGGGCCACCCTCAGGCTTTCTGATTCTTTAGGTCTCAGGGGGGCAAACATTTCTAATGTGTTCTCAGATATGCTGGCTGGACCCACACTTTGAGAACCCCCTCAGTTAGACCTGTTCTCCCCACATCCTGTCATTAGTAAATGAGCCACAGGAAGACTAGTGTGAAGGCTGGGGTCCTGGTGGCACCTGTTTGTTTGGGTCCCTGAAAAGACAGAGGAGACCCAGCTCTTGCATGGTTGTTAAGTGCCATTGAACTATATAGGGTACCAAGTGTGGTTAGTGGGTTTGAACCACCCACTTTGTGGTTAGCAGTCCAGTTCTGATCCTAAAGTACCATACCAGGTCTCCAACTCTTGCATTGTTGTTGTTGTTAAATGCCTTCAAGTCAGTTCCAATGCAGAGTAGGTTCTGATTCACAGTGACCATGTATAGGGTTTCCTAGGAATGACTGGTGGGCTTGAACTGCCGACCCTGTGGTTCAAACTGACCTTACAATATAGTGCATTAACACACAGTGCCACACCAGGACTCCAATTTTTGCATTGTTGTTGGTGTTGTTAAGTGTCGTTGAGTTGGTTCCGACCCATTGTGACCCTGTATAGGGTTTCCGAGGAGCAACTGGTGAGCTTGAACCACCGACCTTGCAGTTCAAGTGACTCAAAGTCCAGTGCATTAACCCACAATGCCACACCACGACTCCAGCTCTTGCATTGTTGTTGTTGTTAAGTGCTGTCCAGTAGATCCCAACACAAAGCAACCTTGTAGTTTCCAAGGAATGACTGGTGAGCTTGAACCACCGATCTTGTGATTCAAACGACTTCATAGTCCAGTGCATTAACCCATAGCGCCACACCAGTGCCCTCTAGTTCTGGACACCATAGGATAGACTGCAAGGTTAGTTTGAACCACAAGTTTGGTGGTTCAAACTCATAAGCTGCTCCTTGGAAATCCTATACAAGGTTGCTATGCAACAGAATCAACCCAACAGCCCGTAACAACAATTCTGGTGTGGCAGTATAGGAGAAAGTCGGCGGTTCAAACTCACCAGACTTTTCCTGGAAACTCTACACAGGGTCACTATGAGTTGGAATTGACCCAATGGCACTAAACAACAATTCTTATTCTGGTGTGGTGCTATAGTATCAGCTCTGGACTTGGAACCACAAGGTTGGCAGTTCACACTCACCAGCTGCTCATTGGAAACCTTTATCAGTATTGCTATGAGTCAGAACTGACTTGATGACTCTTAACAACAAGATAAATTGTTTCTCTGGTGTCCCCTGTCCCTGGGTTGTAGATGGAACTCAGTTTTTCCCTTCCCAGCCCAGGCCAAACTAGAGTTGGCTTTCAATCTCAATTCACTGTGTACTTTCCCCTACTAGTCTACTCCCTTGATCCCAATAGGGATGGCAAGAATGACATTGAACTCTATGGTTTTAGGCATTGACCGTAGTCCCGTGCCCTCAGCACTATCCTGCTCGGAGTAAGAATTTTCAAGGGAATTCCAAGCTCTGTGGCTGTTCTTGTGCCAGGTCAGTAGGGCCTTCTCAGAGTTTCCATGGCCAAGACAGTGGGGGCAGGTAGTCCTATTTTCTTCCTTGCCTTGCACACATATGGTCTTAAGAGGGTCTATTGTTGTTGTTAAGTGCTGTTGAGTTGATTCCGACCCATAGCGTCCCTGTATATACAGGGTTTCCAAGGAGCAGCTGGTGAGCTTGAACTGCCGCCTTGCAAACGACTCTGCAGTCTGCCACATTAATCCACAGTGCCACACCAGGACTGTTGACCATGAATGGACACTGCCCACTGGCTCTGGGTCACTTCTGATGCACAGAAGTCACAGTCCCATGCAGCTAGCACCCACCCTCTGTCATGGGTGTTTTGATGAATATTGATCATAAAAATTCAGTGTAGTAGAAAAGCTTAGTTACAGTGTTAGTCACATGGACGCCTGGGTTTTGAAGTCCCTTCAGTTGCTAATTGGCCTGTGTCATATACCATCTCCCTCTCCCCACAACAGACATGTGGGTCATGGGTATCATCTTCCCTACTCCAAGGAGAACCTAGGCCCTGGGGGAGCATGGAGGGACCCAGAACCAGGCCAGGCTCTGGTCAACCCCTCTGTCTGCCTCCCTAAGAACTTCCACCTTGGTTTCTGTCCCTATCACCTTGACGACCTTGAAGAGCAGAGTTCCCAAATCATCACAGTTAAGAAGGATCTCCAGGTTGCTCTTACCTACAGGACTAGGACTGTGCTGGGGCCCAGTGCCAACCTGCCTGCCATCCAATTCTCCCCACACACCCTGGGGGGTGGTCAGTGCCAACTCCAGAACGAAGGAGTACATTGGATGTGATGATCCAATGATCCATGTGGGAAACTGAGCACACACTGGAGACCCAGCTATTTAACTAATTCCTCCTGGAGTGGAAACTGAAGCCCAGAGGTAAGGGGTCTGACCAAGGCACTGTCAAGACAGTGACTCAAACAAGGCCTGGCACCAAGAAGGTGCTCACAGTGCAAGCCCAGGTGGGAACACCTTCTGAAGCTTACTTATTTCAGTGTTAAAACCAATGATCCCTAAATTACCATCATAAAGCTGAACTCTTCTGTACCGTCTTCCAGAGATGAAGGCGAAACTGACTGTGTCTCTTGCTTTGTGCAGCTGGAGAACCACACGGATACACACTTAGGCCGGGATTTTTTCCTGGGCCACAAGCCCTTAGCCCGCTCCAGCACCTACATCAACCTGCGTGAAGTCTCCAGCCGGGTCTGTCTGCCCCCAGGGGAGTACTTGGTGGTCCCGTCCACCTTTGAGCCCTTCAAGGATGGAGAGTTCTGCTTGAGGGTGTTCTCAGAGAAGAAGGCCACCACCCTGTGGGTGTTCCTTGCCCTCTGTTCCGGGATTGGGGGTGGCGGTTGTTGTTTGAGAGCTCTGGCCAGCTGAGGGGAGTAGCTGGATGTGGGTGCAGGGCTTGTTGGCTGATACTCCCAGGAGAAGCTGCTCAGAACACATTGGTTTAACACCATAGGCCCCAGGTGTCCCTAACTGGATGTCTCCCCCATCTCTACCATTTTGCTCGATAGGACACAAAAGGAGTTTTCTTGAAAAAATGGTCAAGCTGGAAGGCATGGGCACTAGTAGAAACCTGGCCAGATGGTCTCCCACCCAGCAGGGTGGACAGGGAGGTCCTGAGCATTCAGTTCTAAGTGGCAGCACCATTCTCTCCCAGGCACACACACACACACACATAGACGTGTATACTCACCCACACATTTGTGCATGGGCTTGCTAGCTCATTCCGATAGAACTTTACCAGGGTAAGTCAAAAAGTATAAGTAAGAGCCATGTTGTTGTTGTTAGATGCTGCTGAGTCAGTTCCAACCCATGCTATACATAGCCCATTCCTGAACCATCCTCATAATTGCTGCTATGCCTGAGCCCACTGCTGCTGCCACATTGCCAAGTCTTCTCGTTGAGGGTTTCCCTCTTTTTAACTGAACCTCCACTTCAAGCATGGGATCCTTCTACAGAGACTAGTCTCTCCTGATAGCGTGTCCAAAGTATGAGAGATGAAGTCTAGCCATCTTGACTTCTAAGGAGCATTCTGGTTGCATTTCTTCCAACACAGATTTGTTTTCTGGTGGTCCAGTGTATCAAAGGAGCTCTGGTAGCGTAGTGGTTACGAATCGGGCTGCGAACCTTAAGGGCAGCGGTTCAAAACTACCAGCCGCTCCGCGGGAGAAAGATGAGGCTTTCTACTCCCATAAAGATTTACACCCTCGGAAACCCTGTACAGGGTCGCTATGGGTCGGACCCGACTCGATGGCACTTAACAACAACAACAACAACAAGTGTATCAAAATGTGAAGCTATTGCTTAGTGACATGTCCTCCATCAGAGGACAGTATCTCCATCTCTCTAACACTTCTGCACTATTTGTCAGTTTTGGCATCCACAAGGGACTCAAATCATGTTCCTTTTTAATGTTCTTTGAGTTTGAAGAGATAAAAAGAAGTCTGAAGGGACAAGATCAAGGCTGTAGGGTAGATGGGGTAAGGTTTCCCAGTGAAATTCTTGTAGGACAGTCCTTGCTACCTTTGAAAACTGAACCAGTGCAAGAAAAAATTTCCTCGGCACAACTTTCCTAGTCTTTTTGTAGCTAATGCAGTTTTCAGTTTTCTTAAAACTTCTTCCTAGTAAGTCCCTGTGATTGTCTGTGTCCTTCAAGAAACTCTGTCAAGATTATCCTTTGGGAATCCCCCTAAAACAATTGCCATAATCTTCTGAACTGACCCTTCTGCTTTGAGTTGAGCTGGCTCAGCAGATGTCTTTGATTGGACTCTTTTTTTTTTTTTTTAAAGGCACCATGGGTCGGAACTGACTCGATGGCACTTAACAACAACAACAATAAAATTAAGTCAAGTATATTATTGAGAGAACCTGTCTTCAGCCATTTACGGATCATAGAGACATGCTGCAACATGTTTGATTTAGAATAAACTTGTGCATATATGAACTCTAACCCTAGTAGCAACACTTTTTGACTTACCCTTGAATGTACTTGGGTTCCCAGGAAGTGCAGGCTAGGGGAGGAAAAGAGTGGTAACTAGGACAAGATGAAAAGAAATTTCCCAGAATAGTGGTCCACCAGGGTGAAAGTTCTAGAATTCATGAAAGGCAAGATAGACAGCGCTTGTCTTTGGTGAGGAGTCCCTGTTGTTATTAAGTATCATTGAGCTGCTTCTGACTTATTGTAGTGACTCTGTATAGAGTTTCCAAGGAATAGCTGGTGGGTTTGAACCACAGACCTCAGTAGTTAGCAATCCAGTGTTTATCCTATGGTGTCACACCAGAAGTCCCTGGATGGTTTAAATGGTTAATGCATTTAGCTTCTGACTGAAAGGTTGGAGGTTCAAATCTACCCACAGGCATCTCGGAATAAAGACCTGGTGACGTACTTCTGAAAAACCAGCCTTTTGAAAATTGTATCAAGTACAGTTCTACTCTGGCACACATGGGGTTTACATGAGTCAGAATCGACTTGATGGTAACTGATTTGTCTCTGGTGAAAACTCAGTGTGGGGTGAAGGGAGATACTTGTCAAAAACAGTTTATGCAGGTTGGAACTCTTAGGAACTAGGTCTTGGATAGGAAGCTAATCCTTTAGAAGAATCAAAAGTTCTCAAAAGAACCTAGCCATGAGTTGGGCATTTTACTAATTCTTTCTTTGTGTTTCAGGGAAATTGGAGATGTTGTAGCTGGAAACCCACATGAGGTAGGCAATCTTTTAGGATGCCAAGCTCTGACATTGGTACACAGCAGGCATTTGGGTTTTCTTGTTGATGTGTAAGGGTGTTTATATATGACAGTCAGGGCCACAGCATTTTCTAGCCCTGGCTTTTCCTCATGAAGATGAGTTACAAGTAGCACTGGGACCCACGCTTTGTAAAGCATCTTCACCACTGGGGAATCTTAGCACCCCACATCCACTCAGGTGGACCCCCATACAAAGCACTCCAGGTGTGTCTGAGCGGTTCTGTGTAGGCTGGAGGGGGCAACAAGAGAAACAGATTCAGTCCCTTATCTCTGAGGAGATATCATTGAGAGACAAATGCTGGGAGCATATAAGATAGCTGACAGAAACCTCTGACAGGAGGAACACAACCCTAGCCTGGCCTGTGTGTAGCCTTGGGGGTGCTGGAGGGAGCATCTCCTTTGTGAAGACTCCATGGGGGCAGCGAGTTCCCAGTAGACATTGGAGGAGGATGTGCCCATGACTGGAAGTGCAGGTTCACCTGCCTCATTCGAGATCTTACTTTACTGTCCCTCAGAATGTGTGTGGAGGCAGGGTGGCAGCTGCTGTTCAATGAGACCCACACTGTGGCTATGGCTGGGGGCACTGGGACCAGGAATGGAGAAGGACTGTCTTCATGGGACCAGCTCCTGTGGCTGTGTTCTGTCTACTTAAATAGATGGCAGTGTCTGTTTTGCCAAAGTTGGGGGAGGGGGTGAAGAAACATATTCTATTATCTGGCATCTATAGAATTTATAAGCTCATATTTCTGCAGATATTAGAGAAGATATCACACAAGCATCTATCTTGCCCTGTTGGTTTATGTCATAGGTTTATTGATAGAAAAGGCATGCTCATATTGTCCGTGTTCATTCCATTTAATCCCTATGGACAGATGTGACTTCTCCCAAGCCCCCTGGAACTTGGTGCACTGTACTTAAGCCAGAAGTCTAAACCTCTTGAATCAGCTGCAGAACCAGATGCTTTTTCTGGGCTTGTGACTCTTGGTAATTGGAGCTGCTCAGAACTCCCCCAAACTGGCCCCAGTTGCGGGTTCCAATTCAGCACCCTCGAATCCCCCAGGAAGATACATCTCTAACAGTGGCGTCTCTTACTTTCAGGTGTGTTAGAAAGGTCCATGTTCCTATGAGGAGTGTGCTGATCCACCTCTTGTGGGAGGGGAGTATAAGAATGATCCAACCACCTCCTCTTGTTGTTGTTTTTGGGTTTCCACAAAATCAACTTAAAACAGAGTTCCCATTAGAGTCTGTTTTATGGTGATCTAGTGGAAACCAAAAAAACAAAAAACAAAACAAACTTAAATAGACTCTATGTCCCCATTGGAATCCTGGTGTGATGCTGTGTAGGATAAGCACTGGACTGCAATCTGCAAGGTTCAAACCCACCAGCTGCTCCTCAGAAATCCTATTCAGGGTCTTTATGAGTCAGAACGAACTCAATGGCACTTAACAACAAGAAGTCCCCATTACACCAGGCTGACAGGAGGTCAAGGGCAGCAGTCTTTATTGGGACTCTACCTCCTCACACTCTATAGTGCTGGGGGTTCCTGATGCACCAAAGTAACAACACGTCTTCTCTGGTCATGGGCCTACACTGCTCTCAGCTTCCTGCCTCAGCTCACAGGTTCTTTAACATCTGATGGCTGTTGAGCATCATCTGTTCTAGCCTGGGGACCTAGAATCTTTGGTGAACTGAGGAGCCCCCAGGTCCAGTCTTCTCTTTGAAGGTCCTGCAAGATGGCCACGGAACCATGCCATGGTTTTCAGTGTTTCAAGGCTCTGTGGACTTCCAACCTCTTCTTATCTTAGGGAAACTTCATCTTTTTTCTCAAAGCACCCTTTCACACACACACACACACACATACACACACACACATACACACACACAGAGAGACAACTAGCATACTGTCTTTAAGTGACTTGGATTTTCACATGACACAGAAAGAGCCATTATCTTCAAGAATTTGTTTCTCTCCTTTCAGAAATTTCCAAGTCATGGAGAGTTTGATAGCGTAGTGGTTACGAATTGGACTGCGAATTGCAAGGTCAGCAGTTCAAAACTACCAGCTGTTCTGCAGGAGAAAGATGATGCTTTCTGTTCCTGTAAAGATTTACAGCCTCAGAAACACTCTACAAGGTTGCTATGGGTCAGAACCGACTCCACGGCACATAACCACTACCACCAGGGCTTGACCACCTGCTTGGAATGAGTGAACAGACACATTCTTGAAATAAAGATGTGATCACTTTGAGCAAGATTATAAAAATACCATCAACATGATCTAACAACAATAAAATAATTGCCTTAGTTTTCCCATACTGCTTTGCTATTTACCAAGCACTTCACATATATTTTCCCATGACAACAGACAACTCCACTTTAATTCCGCTACAATAAGTTCCTAGAGAATAAGTAAAATCTCTTATTCTTCATTGTATGAAGGTAAGTCAAAAAATATTGTTGCTAGGATTTCTGTTCATACTTGCACAGGTTTATTCCAAGCAAAACATGCTTAAACATGTCTCTGTGATCAGTGGAGGCTGCAGACAAGTTCTCTCAGTAAGATACTTACTTGTCTTAGTCTCATTAGGGTGCCTTCAGGAGGAAAAAAAAAAAAAAAGGATACTTTTTTGTCTTGGGAAAAATGATTTTGAGGTCAGGGCTAATATAAAATTTAAAACAAAATTCAAGTGGACATTTCTCCAAATCACTGGAACTTTGCAACAAGTTTATGAGAATACTGCCTCACATAAAACAATGATTTTTAGGTAGATTAAACATTTTAAGGAAGGTCAGAAACACCTCAAAGACAAACCAAGAAAGGGAAGACTGTCAACCTTGACAGATGAAGAAACTGTGGCTGAAGTCTAGAAACTGGTGGAAGAAGACTTTAGTATCACCACTGATGTGATAGCTACTGAAGTTGTGTTATCTAAATAGTTTGGCATTATCAGTTTCAGTAAGCTTCCAGCCAATAGCATTGCAGGAAGATCAGCTAGCTCAGAGAACTGTTCTTTACATCCTAGTTGCAATACTTTTTGGAGTCCTGGTGTGGTGCTGCAGGATAATTCGCTGCACTGCAAGGTCAGTTTCAGCCCCAAAGTTGGTGGCCCAAATCCACCAATTGCTCCTCAGAAACTCTATACAGAGTCACTATGAGTCGGAGTCTATTTGATGGCACTTAACAACAACAAGAAGAAATATTTTAAAGCAAGATAGAAACTGAGGAAAATGGTTTTATGGAATGAATTGTAACCATACACAGGTCTTGGATTTACTAATATGATCCAGAGAACTAGGTCCAATCAAAACAGTGACTTCCAAGGGGATTTGCTGGGTCAGTTCAATTCAAGGCAAAGAAGTCAGCTCAAACTACTTTTTGGAATCCCCAAGGGGTAATCTTGTGTCAATGGACACAGGACAATCATGGAGACTTACTAGGAAGAAATTCTAAAAAAAACTGAAAACTGAATTGGTGAGAAAAAGGCCAGGAAAGTTGCACTAGGATTTTTTTCCCCCTTGCATCTGCTCATTTTCCTGTGATGGCAAGGGATAGCTAATGAAAATTTAATTGGAAATCACTACCCCATCCAACCTACAGCTCTGATCTTGCCTATTTAGAATTTATTCCTAAATTCTAAGAACATTTACAGGAATACAATTTGTGGCCCTCAAGGATGCCAAAAGTGGTATTTCATATGGTATAAATCAAAGAATGCAGGAGTATTCAAGGAAGGATTGTCATTGTTAAGTGCCATCGGGTTGATTCTGACTATTAGCAACCCTAGATAGGGTTTCTGAGGAACTTCTGGTGGTTTGAACTGCTGACCTTGTGGTTTGTAGCCTACAGTGTCACACCATGGAAACACCTCTTTCAGAAGTGTATAGATAGAGGATATGTTGAGAAACAACAGCTTCATATTTTGATGTTGTTGTTAATTGTCATCAAGTCTGTTCTGACTCATAGCAAGCCTATATTGGGTTTCTGAAGAGGGACAGGTAGGTTTGAACCACTGACTTTGAGATTAGCAGTTCAGTGCTTATCCTACAATGCCACACCAGGAATCCTCCTCACATTTTGATATTTTTGTTTAATAAAAGTGCCTTGATTAGCTAGTGTTGCTGTAATAGAAATGCCACAAGTAGATGATGCTTCAGCAAACAGAAATTTATTCTCTTAACACTTTAAGAGGACTGTTGTTGTTGAGTGCCATCGAGTCGGTTCCAACCCATAGCAACCCTGTATAGAGTTTCTGAGGAGCGGCTGGTGAGCTTGAACTGCTGACTTTTGTGGTTCAAAACCAACCTTGCAGTCCAGTTCATTAATCCATAGTTCCACACCAGGACTCCTTTAAGAGTCTTGTTGTTATGTGCTGTGGAGTTGATTCCAACTCATAGCAACCCTGTACAGGGTTTCTGAGGCTGTAAATCTTTGCAGGACCAGAAAGCCTCATCTTTCTCCGGTGGAACAGCTGGTCGTTTTGAACTGTTGACCTTGTGGCTCACAGCCCAATTCGTAACCACTACGCTACCAGAGTGTAGAGGTCTGAATTCAGGGTGCCGACTCTGGAGAAAGGTCCTTTTCTCCTTTCAGCATCCTTAGGTCCAGCATTCCTTAAAGATCTCCATGCATCTTGACATGCATCTTTCCCTGGATCTAGGGACATGGTGGCTGTGCAGGATAAGCACTGATGCAAGGTTGACAGTTTGAGCCCACCAGATGCTCCTCAGGAGAAAGATGAGGCTTTCTATTCTTGCAAAGATGTAAAGATTTACACTCTCAGAACCCCATAAAGGGCTGCTATGAGTCGGAACCAACTCAATGGCATACAACAACGACAGGAGCTTCACAGAGCAGGGACCCCAGGGTCAAAGGATGTACTCCACTCCCGGCTGTTCTCCCTTTCTCTGAGCTCTGCTTGCTTATTGAATCTTTTTTATATCTCAAAAGAGATTGACAGAAGATACAACCTAATTCTGTAGATTGCAGCCAGCCTCATGAACATCATAGATGTGAGGATTTATAACACAAAGGATAGTTAAGTCAGATCACATCATGCATCATGGCGGGCATGGTGGGGGGAGGATGATTACATCCTATTAGATCTTATCATGAAGATGATCTTAACTCTAAACCATGGAGAATACTGGCCCAGTCAAGTTGACCCAAAACCTTAACTATCTCAAAAGGTTTCTATGATTTTGTAGCAATACTTTTTGATGTACTCTTGTTACTTCAGGCATAAACATAACAGTTTTTAACATGTGCCAGGTATGTGTGTATATAAATAACAATAATATATATATATGTTTATGGATCCCTCGTGTGATGCTATGGGATAAGCACTGGACTATGATCTGCATGGTTGCCAGGAAGTGAGGAAGATGCAGTTATATGATGGTGAATACTCTGCACTCCACACTTTGTTCATTTATTCATTCATTAAAAATTTATAACATACATTATCTATATCAAATATATATCTATGCACTTTAATTCATTAAATATATATATATATATATATATATATATATTTGGGTGGTGGTGGTGGTAGTGTGCTGTAGAGTCAGTTCTGACTCATAGTGATCCTGTACAGGGTTTCTGAGGCTGTACATCTTTACCGGAGCAGAAAGCCTCATCTTTCTCCCACGGAATGGCTGGTAGTTTCAAACCACTGACCTTGAGGTTAGCAGCCCCACTCATAACCACCACACTACCAGAGCTCCTAATGTATTTACATATATATTTAATGAGTGGATAAATGAGCAAACATGTGACGCATACAGTATTCACCACCATTTTTGCTGTTGTTAAGTGTCTTCAAGTCATTTCTGAATCATAGCAACCCTTATATAGTTTCCAAAGAATGGCTGGTGAGTTTGAACCAAGCATGCAGTTCAAACTGGCCTTACTGTCCAGTGCATTAACCCACAGTGGCACACCAGGACTCCACCATTATACTGGTATTTCAAAATTACTCAGTTTCTAATGACACCCCCCAGTGGCAGACTGCCTACCATGGACCAGAATTTGTTGTTATATGCTGTTGATACCGATTCATAGAGACCCCATGTGACAGAGTAGAACTGCCCCAAGGGGGTTTCTTAGCTGTAATTCTTACAGAAGCAGAATGCCAGGTCTTCCACCTGTGGAACAGCTGGGTGGGTTCAACTTAAATGCAGAATTAGCAGCTATGCTTAACCCCAGTATTTGTCAATATTCATATCATTTTCTTCTCTTTTCTCCTCTTTGCTCTTCCTTCTTATTTGCTATGTGATATTATCCTTTTCTTCCCAGGAATAATATAATGTTACTCTGTGTCCAGGAATTATTAACTTCCTATTAAATTTTGGACTAGAGTATATTATAGTACATGAACAAAAGTAATTTTCCTACAAACTACTTTATGTAATATGTATGATGAGAAGCAGTTATCATTTTTCTTCTCAAAATTTAGATACATTTCAGCACATTCTCTAATGCTATCATTAATGCCCCCATGTTATCAATGAGGAAACCAGTCTTCTTGAGGTTGAGTAGGATATAGGGGATATCTGATTTGGTCATCATGGTAGACGGGGGTGGGGTTTGAATCCTGGCTCCATGGTTTACTAGTTGTAGGACCTCAGCCAGTTTCTCCACCATGAAATGTGGATAGGAATGGGTGTGCTGTGAGTATTAAGTAAAATATTCCATGTAAAATATCTGGTAAGAATTAAGTATGCAATAATTTGAGTATTATTACTACTATTACTATTCTTAATTATTAGTTGTTGCTGTTGTTAAGTGTCGTTGAGTCAATTCCAATTCATAATGACCCTGTACAGGGTTTCCGAGGAGCAACTGGTAGGTTTGAACTGCTGGCCTTGTGGTTTGCCGTTCAATACTTATCCTACAACGCCACACCTACTGCTAATCCTGGTGTAGCACTGTGGGTTAATGCACTGGACTGCAAGGTTGATTTGAACTCCAAGGTTGGTGGTTCAAGCTCACGAGTTGGAATTGACTCAACGGCACTTAACAACAACAACTACTCTTATTAGTATTGCTACTCTTACTGTTGCTACTTTTGCTACCCTATTGTCAGTGGTATTGAATGTTTTATACTTTTCTGAGGACCCATTCTTGGTGTAATGGGTTGAGCTGGCTCTCTGGAACCTCTTTGAGACATTCAGCACACATGTCATTTTCTCCATTATGCCTGATGGTGACAGTTTTTTTGGCATTCTATTTTGGATGGAGCCCATCCTGTCTCTGGACAGAGTCATTCAGATAATGGTTTGTAATTTTCAAAGGACTTTGACTCACATTAGCTCTTATGTGATTATCAAAATGACCCTGTGAAAACAGCCTTGTTAATTTAGATTTGAGTTAAGGAGCCAGAAGAGCTCTGAAATGGTATCCTGTAAATGGCCAATCTGATTTTTGAATCTGGCTTTCTGTCTCCTTGTTTCCTATTTCTACTCGACTGTGTTCTTGTTCCCAACTACTTTTTAATTCTGCTGTAATTTCTGGAGATCAAAGACCCAGGTCAAGATGCCCTACTGTCAGTTTTTCTGCTTTTCCCAGCAGGTAGTTCACCTGAGTCCCCCAAGCTGAGGGTTGTGAGGGGAACCCTTTAGGTCCAGCACTGTGTCTCTGTTAGACAGTTAGACTGTAAACTCACCAGGGGCAGGACCTCAGATGTGTCTCTTGCTTTCCTTCATGTGCCCCAACTCTTCCCGATCCTGGCACATGATGGGTGGTCTGTAAATACCAGTAAGGTTTCAATATTTTCACCTCTTCAACTATTCCCCTTTTAACTTTGCAATTGTCCTTCATTTTAGCTGCAGCCCAGTGATGTGGAGCAAGAAGATGTCCAGTTCAAGAACCTGTTTGAGAAGTTGGCAGGGGAGGTGCGTGGTGGGCAAACACAATTCCCTAGGTGGGCAGTCAGGTGGGAAAGTTATATCAGTCCTGCTGTCTTTCCTTCTGTAAGTACCAGTGGGTGAAACTGAGGCTGCAAGTCTCAGGGCCTCAGGGCTCTGTGTCTGTTACTGTATCCTGTCTCAGTACAGAGGGCCTTTCAAGTGAAGCTGGGTGAGTAATCTAGTCCTGAGACTCCTGGTATGGCGCTGTAGCATAAGCACTGGCCTGCTAACCACAAGATCAGTGGTTCAAACCCACCAACTGCTCCTTGGAAACCAGGTTGGCAGTTCAAACTCATCAGCTGCTACTCAGAAACCCTATACAGGGTCACTATGGGTCAGAACTGACTCAATGGCATGTAACAACAACAACATTAGTCAGAACCCATCAGCCAGCACCTAACAACAGCAACAACAACAATCTAGTCCTGGGCCCCTCTTCCTGCCACATGGACATAGTCTTGAGAAAACAGGAAATCCTAATCTGGTCCTGCCAGAAGAACCCTTTCTGCTTATAAATTGGCCCTGTCAGCTCAGGGCCTCTGATGAAATAGCTAGCGCAGCAAAACCTCTTTAGATCAATACCCTTCAGAGGTGGCAGGGATAGCCCAGCCAGGTGGGCACAGGCTAACCACAAGTTAACCTGGCCTGGGGTTGGTGTGCAGAGCCATGGCCTAGCTCTTTCCAGTCTCAAGTGGGTATGTGGGGGTCAATAGTACTCTCCACTCTGGACTTCAAGCTTGGCTGGGCTCCCAGCAGGACTTGGGGGCTCACCAAGGGAGAGCAGCCACCAGCACTCACATCAGCCCCCCACCCCCCACCCCCCGTGGATCAGACTCATTGTGATTTCAGTCGCATGGAGGTCAAAAAGTAAGTTACAGTGGCCCTGCGACTGGAAGTGTCAGCACTAGTCCCATAAAGACAGTAAATGGATTGCTCTTTGACGGGTAATGAGATGTACCAAAGGGATGAGAAAGGGAGAAATAAGGCTTGCCATCCTCCAGGGAAAGTCTGAAGGCATTTCTAGACTAGAGAATGGAATAGATGAAAATATATCAGAATCCCCTTCAGAAAGGAAGGCCTGGGAACACAGTTCCTTTACAGAGTGATTGAAGAAACTCTTGAAAAAATGAGTCAATTTATATTTTAAATGGATGCTCAGACTAATATTTTTACTAACAAAACCTGGCTGTCTTAGCTGCCAAGGGACAATATTTTCTTAAGAACATCAAGAACAATAAAAAATAAAAGCTTCTATTTGTGTAGTTCTCCTTGTACCCTCACTTAACTTTTCTCTACAGCAGTGTGGGCCAGTGTCTGTCACTCTTCTGCTTCTGTGGATGAAGTGACCAGCACAGCGAGATTAAGGAGGGACAAGGCCAAGTTTCAAACATAGCCTCCCCAACATTCCATTTCTTTGCTGGCAGGCTAATAGAGTCATGCTCTTGTCCAGGTGGCGTTTCAGATCTTGTAAGAACAAAACAAAAGAAAACAAAACTCAAACCTGTTGCTATTAAGTCAGTTCTGACTCATGGTGACCTCATGTGTTACAGAGTAGAACTGTGCCACAGGACTTTCTTGGCTGTGATCTTTATGAAAGCAGATCACCAGGCCTTTCTTCTGCAGAGCTGTTGGGTGGCTTTGAAAGGCCACACTTTAAATTAGTATTCGAGTGCAAACCATTTGTGCAACCAGAGACCTTCTCAGGCCTCAGAGGGGCCAACTACTCTGTGGCTGAATGAAGCCAGCTGCCATCCCAGAAGTCCCTAGGTGGTGCAAATGATTAACACACTCAACTGCTAACTAAAATGTTGGAGGTTTGAGGTCACTCAAAGACACCTTAGAAGAAAGGCCTGGAAATGTCAGCCACTGAAAACCTTGTACAGCACAGTTCTATTCTAACACACATGGGGTTGTCATGAGTCAGAATCGACTGGACAATAATAGGATTTTGGTTTTATGTGACTGGTGGACATGAGTACATGAGCTTAGGGAGGAGTTGTTGTTATTGTTAAGTGCCGTTGAGTCAATTCCGACCCATAGCGACCCTGTATAGAGTTTCCAAGGAGCAGCTGTTGAGCTTGAACCACCGACCTTGCAGTTCAAACAACTTTGCAGTCTGTGCATTAGCCTACAGCAAGCACCACACCAGGAGAGTACAAACGGTTAGAACACACTACAAAAATTAAAATTACTTGACTAAAGCCACACAGCGAGTAAGGGACAGTCAGCATTGGAATTCAGATCTGGGTCTATTGCCCCTTCTCTGTTCTTTATTCATCATTCACCATCCTGCCTGAGGTCTGTCTTCCATCTGAGAGTTAGGGGACAGATCTTCTCTCTGGCTCAATATTTACCTCAAACGTACAAGGAAGATTATGTCCCCCTAAATCTTTGATATTTTCAATAACCTTATATGCGTGTGAAAGCTGGACAGTAAATAAAGAAGACCATAGAAGAATCGATGCTTTTAAGTTATGGTGTTGGAGGAGAATATTGAAAGTGCCATGGGCTGCCAAAAGAACCAACAGATCTGTGTTGGAAGAAGTGCAGCCAACGTGCTCCTTGGATGTCAAGATGGCCAAGCTTCATCTCTCATACTTTGGACATATTGCCAGGAGGGACCAGTGACTGGAGAAGAATATCATGTTTGGTAAAGTGGAGGGTCAGCAAAAAAAAGGAAGATCCTAGCGAGATGGATTGGCAAAGTGGCAGCATCAGTGGGCTCAAGCATGGCAACAGTAGTGAGGTTGGCCCAGGATCGGGCAGTGTTTTGTTCTGTTGTGCATAGAGTCACTATGAGCCGGTACCCACTCGAATGCCCCTAAAAACAACAACAACAACAACAGCAAACCTCTCCTCCTAGTTTTAGGTGAGCTACAACATGAAACAGCAACTCCCAGAGGCAGATGGATGGTCTGGTGTGAAGGCTGGGACTTTGGGATGAGATGGACTCAGTGTGAGAATTCCAGCTCTGTCCCTTGGTAGCTGTGAACCCTGAGCAGTTATGTTTCAGTTATTAAGTGCCATTGACTTAGTTCTGACTAATATTGACCCTGTTTAGAGTTTCCAAGGAGTGGATGGTGGGTTTGAACTGCCAACTTTGTGGTTATCAGTCCAATGATTATCCTACAGTTCCTCACCAGGACTCCTGAGCAATTACAGAACATGTGAAAATGACTAGTTATATTGTGTCTGGTGGTATGGTGGTTAAGTGCTCAGCTGTTCACCAAAAAGGTTGGCAATTCATGCCCACAATTCTCACTGAGAGAGAAGATGTTGCAGCCTGCTTCTGAAAAGATCGGCAGCCTCAGAAACCCTATGGGACAGTTTTATTCTGTCCTATAGGATCGTGATGCATAGTGTTTATGAATTGGGCTGAGAACCTTAAGGTCAGCAGTTCGAAAGTACCAGCTGTTCCGCGGGAGAAAGATGAGGCTTTCTGCTCCTGTAAAGACTTACACCCCAAAACCCTGTACAGGGTTGCTAAGAGTTGGAACCAACTCCACAGCACACCACCATCACTACCATAGGGTCATGATGAGTCTGAATCCACTAGAAGGCAGTAGGTTTTAGTATGATTTGGGCATGTAGATGGGGCCTAGTAGTTTATAAATCACAGATTCCTTAACTCTAAATGGATGTGGAGTTGTTTTGAGGATTAAAGTCTGTCTACAAGGAGCTCTGGTAGCGTAATGGTTACGAATCAGGCTGAGAACCGCAAGATCAGCAGTTCGAAACTGCCAGCTGTTCCGTGGGAGAAAGATGAGGCTTTCTGCTCCGTAAAGATTTGCAGCCTCAGAAAGCCTGTACAGGGTCGCTATGGGTCGGAACCGACTCTATGGCATATAACCGCCACCTACATGGGGTGGGTAGTCTGGCTCTTGGTTTCAGGGGATCAAAGCCCTATGGTGTGAAAAGTGCTCATGTCATCAGCATACTCCTCTGGCCAGGCTATTGGAGACCCCAGGGGAAAAGGACATTCAAATGTTTAAAGAAAAAACACTATGCTTTAGTACCACAGTGCCTGTAGGTCTGGTGTCTGACTGCAGAGGAGGCGCCGCATTAATCTGATGTCTTGAAATACTCATCAGTTCCTGACTTGACTTAAATCCCGTTCCTCTTTCTAGGACTTGGAGATCAATGCCAGTGAGCTCAAGACCATTCTCAATGGGGTGTTTTTCAAACGTAAGTCCTCCTTTTCAGTAAGTCCATAGTAACTAGAGAAAGATGTTGGAGTCAGGATGCTGCAGGCTGTGGGCCCAAAGCGAAAGAAGCAGGAACACCTCACATGAGAGAAAGGATCTTGGACCAGGGAGCCCTCTTTTCTCTAGCAAGGACAGAGGCATGAGGCAGGGGGAATGGAGAGGAGGAGGCTGTGAGAGGTGATGCTGAGAGGCCAGCCTGGACTTGAAGGCCTGCAGGAATAAGCCCCTGCGATGTTGAGCAAAATCTTGTTCTGAGTTCTGGATGGAAAAACCAAAGCTGAAAACCACTGTACAGTTTAAGGGTCTTGTTTTGTTGTGGATCTTCAAGGGAAGGAGTGTGGAAGGGATGGTTCTGACTCTGCCCTAGGTTCTGCTTAGTTCGCTCAACCTCATCTTCAGACATGGGCATGCCTTTGGGGCTGTCAGAAGGTTAAACTGCCAGGAGGAAGGGTTTGCTCCACCTCCTCTGAACACTAGTCCCATTGGTGGAGGAGCCATGGATTCCAGTTCACCTCTTGCTCCTGCCTCTCTCTGGGCAGGGAAGGAGTTGCCCATGGAAGCAGAGAGGAGATGGGAGGGCTTCATGGTCTCTGATTCCTGCCTTGGTTCTCAGCTCTGAGGGAGGGGAGGGTGGAGGGCAAGGATGACTGGAGCCCCAGGAAGATACCTGTTTTCTTTCACAAGTACAGATAAATGCTGCCTTTCAATAGGCTATATGTTAGTTTGTCTCACTGTGGTGGCTTGTGTGTTTCTAAGATACAGAAAGCTATAATACAAGTATTTCAAAGACCAACAGTGCCACCCATGGTGGATACGTTTCAGTGGAGCTTCCAGACTAAGACAGACTAAGAGGAAAGTTCTGATGATCTCCTCCTCAAAATTAGCCAATGAAAATCCAGTGGATCATGATAGCTTGTTGTCTGATACATACTAGAAGGTGAGCCCTAGGTTAGCTGGTACTCAAAGTATACAGTGATTGCAAAATGGACACAAGCATGCAGTTAGCACAGGACTTGGGTGGTGTTTTATTCTCTTATACATGGGGTTGGTTGTCTGCTGTAACAACAACCTGCCTGCCAGTGGTTAAAAACACAGACCAGTGCCAGAGGGCCTAAACCCCAGCTCTGCCCCCTACTGGTTGTGTGAATGAACTTGAGTACATTATTTAATCGCTCTGCACCCCAGTTTCCTTTTCTATCAAATGGAAACAATGACAGCATCTACCACACTGCTTAGAACAATGCCTACCTAGTAAAAAGATAGCTCTTTTATTAAGGATTTTCCATGTGCCAAGCATTGTGCTAAAACTTCACCTGTCTTTGGGATAAGTACTATTATTTGCATTTGCTAGGGGAGGAAAATAAAGGTCAGAGGCATTAATTTGCCAAAATTCTATGAATAGCAGAGCCAAGGGTCAAACAAGCACCTTCAATGATTCTGCTCCTAACCATTCCAGTGACTGTCTCCCAGGGTCTGGGCAGTCTCGGGGGCCACAGGGGTGTGGACATCTGCTGATGAACCTGCCACAGGACTCTCCCCATTTAGTGTGTGTATGGGGGCACGTTCCACTTCATGTCCTGAATGGGATCTTTGGTGGTTTTCTACCATGGAGACTATTTCCCTTGGTCCTGATTCTCACTCACTTTTTCTATTGAAATATTTAGGAGCAGACATAAAATTCAGTGGATTCAACATCAACACTTGCAGGGAAATGATCAGCCTTTTGGATGTATCCTTTCAATGCACTCCCCCCCCCCCCCACCATTTTAAATGATTCCTCAAGCTTTTAAAAATATAAGGGTAGAAAAGAGAAAGGACAAGAAGGGGAATGAGATTTTGCTTACTGAGCATATGCCAGGCATCATGCTGGAGGCTTTTAAATATACATATGTATTTAATAAGCTTGAGATTAGATCTCTCTGATATAACGTAACCCTCATTTTATATTGTCGAATGTGTTGAAGTTTCAGGAAGAGTGGGTAAGGTTAGCGCATTCCATATATATATATATATATATATATATATATATATATATATATAGAGAGAGAGAGAGAGAGAGAGAGAGAGAGAGTGAGTCCCAGTGTGGTGCTGTGGGTTAATGTGCTGGACTGCAAAGAAAGGGGAGGTTAGAGGGTGACACCAGGGTGAGAATGGAGTCAAGTGGAAGGACCATTACCATAACAACCTAAAGGATGGAGGAGGTGATGGTGGTTAAGCACTTACCACCACCACCAACAATATATGACTTATATTATCTATCAACCTATCTAAAATGTCATGCAAGCTCCTCAGTGACCTTGAGATAACCTTTCTTTTACAGGTAAAGGAATTGAGGTATGCAATGTTTAAGGGACTTATTTAAAATCATCTAATTTAGACATAGCAACTATGTGGATTTTGTGGCCCTCCTCCTTCTTCAAGGACCTCTGGTAGCGAAGTGGTAACAAATTGGGCTGCTAATCTCAAGGTCAGCAGTTCAAAACTACCAGTTGTTCTGTGGGAGAAAGGTGAGGCTTTCTGCTACCATAAAGATTGTAAAGATTTACAGCCTTGGAAACCCTAAGGAGGATTGCTGAGTCAGAACTGACTCCATGATACACTACCACCACCATCCCCTCCACCTTCATTTAGGTTATCATGGTGATGGTCCTTCCACTTGACTCCATTCTCACCCTGGTGTCACCCTCTAACGTCCCCTTTCTCCCTATCACTATCTGGACTTTTAATACTGTCCTCTGACAGCTATTACCTACCAATAGTTCAGAATTATCACCTAAGAGTCTGTTTGTTATCTCTGATCTAACTCAACCCTCATTTTATATTGTCCAACGTGTAGGAGCTGCAGGAAGAGTGGGAAAGGTTAGGGCATTCCAGGTGTGGGGAATAGCTTAAATGAAGGCATCAGGTGTGAATGGTGGAACATCACTTCCTTCAATGATGCCTAGGGTGGGTACAGGTGACCCGTCTCTGTAGTGCTAATCACGAAGGTGATGTCTTTAAAAATTGGAATTTTGAAAGGTTCTCCTCAGTTCTTGGGCTTCATCCATGCTGAGCTATCTGACTGTTTCTGCAGGATTTCTTAACGAATCTTAGTGTGGGAGGATATATATATATATATATATTTTTTTTTGAGTTTTCTCTCTCTCTTTTTTAATGTTTTATTGTGAATTATGTGATAGTTTAGTTACAATCCCCTCCATACATCATCAGCCAACCAAAGGGTATACCCTGCAAGCCTGCTCCCTTGCCCCCTTCCTGGTTGTCAGCACACAGTGTCTCTCCCTCTCTGGGTCCCCAGCTGCTTCGTCTCTCCACGTCATCGTCTCTGCCTCCATCTCAGGCATCACTGCTTCTCTGGGTAAGGTCCTGCTCTCTGCTCTTCTCCCTTCATGGTCCCAGGGACCTGGGAGGAATTATTTTTATTTGTGTGGATTTGTCAGGTTGAGGAGTCCTAGGTAACCAGAGATGTAAGCTCAGACATGTGCCAGGGTTGTCACAAATGTAAGGATGGTGCTATCCCTGTGGTCCCAGAGCTTCAGAGACCACTTGTGCAGGATTTGGGGTCTTGTCAGCACTTGTAAGCTCCCAGAGGCCTGGGTGGTTAGTAATTTAATTTGTGGGCCGCTGGGAATTGTTAAGTGCTGACTCGCCTTGCTGCAAATAGTTCTTTGCATCCAGAATCATTTTCATCAAACCTTGTCTGTTGTTTTGCAGTGATCACTCAGTGTCAACTTGGCATTGCGTTCCTCATAGAGTTGAGAGGACTGTGACTCTTGGAGTCATCCTGAGAAGCGCTCAGTTCTACCAGCCAAATGCTGTGGGCAGAGTTTCAGCCCTGGAGACCCTGATATACTAGGTTTAGGACAGGGTCTGGGTCTTTGCAGGAAGTCCCACTGTCCATCTGGAATTGAAGACCAGGGAAAGAGCCCTGGAGGCCCAGTGGTGAAAATGCTCAGCTGCTAACCAGTAGGTGGTTTGAACCCATCAGTCTCTCCACAGAAGAAAGACATGGCAGATTGCTTCAATAAAGATGATAGTTTTGGAAACCCTCTGGGCAGTTCTACTCTGTCCGGTAGGGTTGCTATGAGATGGCCTCTCCTGGATGGATGGCAGAGGTCTTGGCTTGATTACGTTTAGTTGTTGCTTGGGGCCAAGCACTTTGGAACAGACATGGGTTCAATTTTAGTGCCACCACTTACTAGAGGAGTTACGCTAGGGAAGTTAGTAAATGCTCTGGATCTCAGTCTCTTCTGGAAAATGGGGAGCACAATGTCTAGCTCACATGGTTACCGTATGACATGAGACACAGTGTATAGCAGGCCTAACACTACAAAGTGCTTTGTAGGCGTTGTTGTGGTTAAGTGCCGTCGAGTCAATTCTGACTCATAGTGACCCTGTATAGGATTTCTGAGTAGCAGCTGGTGGGTTTGAACTGCTGACCTTGAGGTTAGCAGTCCAATGCTGATTCTACAGTACTGAACAAGGACTCCCTTTAAATACTCTGCTCTGAGACATGCTGGTTGAATTGTTAGTGAGAATTTGAAGACTGATGCATTCAGTACTCAGTGCCAATCATTGACAGAAAACCACAGACTCTCCTAATTGGGTGACGTTCCCACTCTTGGATGGAAATGTGACTTCTTGGTTGGTTAGTTGAAGGTGATAGGAATGACGGATGTCTGCTCTAGAATTTTAACATCCGTGCTGTAACTGGTGAAGATTGATTAGTTGTGATTGAGGAGGAAGGGGTTGTGTTTTAGACAGACTTCGTCTGATGAGGGCAAGGAGAGTTCCAAACCCACCCCCTAAAAACTAGGATGTTGCTGTTATTAAGTGCTGTTGAGTCAGTTGCAACTCATATAGACCCTGTATGGGGTTTCTGAAGAGCAGCTGGTGGATTTGAACTGCTGATCCTGTGGTTTGCAGTCCAGTGCTGATCCTACAGCACCACACCAGGACTTGTCTATATATTCGTTGAATGAATGTTGGTTGGCACAGATAAATTCACCTCTATGTTTGTTTGTTCAGTGGCCTGTAAGCCAGCTTTGCTTCTGGGGCTGTGTCCCAGAGCTCTCTGTGTGGCCCAGCCAAGCACCATGATAGAGACTGTTGTGGTTGAGAATCTGGAGATATTCCTGGTCACATTTTGGGATTCCAACTAATTATCCACCACAGATATTTAAATCTGGAAGTGCTGAAACAGTTTGCATTTGACTGCTAACATAAAGGAGTACTGGTGTGGCACTGTAGAATAAGTACTAGACTGCTAACTGCAAGGTTGGTGGTTTAAACCCACCAGCTGCTCTTCAGAAATCCTGTGGTGGCAGTGGTGATTATGTGCCGTGGAGATGGTTCTGACTCATAGCAACCCTGCATAAGGTTTCTGAGGCTGTATATCTCTCTGTATATCTGTATATATTTATGGGAGCAGAAAACCTCATCTTTCTCCCACAGACTGGCTGGTAGTTTCAAACTGCTGACGTTGAGGTTAGCAACCCGCCTTGTAACCACTACACTACCAGAGCTCCTTTCAGAAAGCTCATAGAGGGTCATATGAGTCAAGCCAACTTTATGGCACTTAGCAATAACACCAACCATGAAGTAAAGGCTGGTAGTTTGAAACTATTCAACAGCATGGTGACAGAAAGGCCTGTTGATTTGCTTCTGTAAAGACTGTGGTCAAGGAAACCTGATGGGGCATTTCTATTCTGTAACCCATAGGGTTTCTGTGAGCCAGAACTCATAGCATTTGTATTTTGTAGTTTGGCCTTCTCCATAATTCAGGATGATTAGGAGATTAGAGTGTTGTTGTTGATATTGTCGGTTGCCATTGGGTTAGTTCTGACTCATCGCAACCCCATGCAAAACAGTGCCCAGTCCTGGGTCATTTTCACAATTGTTAATACGTTTGAGCCCATTGCTGCTGCCACTGTGCTGTATCATTCTGTTGAGGGTCTTCATCTTTTTCAATGACCTCCACGTTACCAAGCATGACGTCCTTCTCCAGGGATTGGTCCTTCCTGACAACATGTCCAAAGTATTAAGAGACAAAGTCTATCCATTCTGACTTCTAAGGAGCCCCTGCTGCACTTCTTCCAAGATAGATTTGTTTGTTCTTCATGGTACTTTCAATATTCTTTGCCAACACCACAACTCAAATGCATCAATTCTTCTGCGGACTTTCTTATTCATTGTCCAACTTTCACGTGCATATGAGGCAGTTGAAAATATGGCTTGGGTTGTTGTTGTTGTTAAGTGCCATTGAGTCAGTTCTGACTCATAGGGTTTCTGAGGAGTGACCGGTGAGCTTGAACTGCCAAACTTGTGGTACATAACAAGGTCCTCAAAGTGATCTTTTTGCTCTTTAACACTTTAAAGGTTAGGGGGTTTGGGACTAATTAATGGTGTTGCTCTGAGATCTGTAGGCTCATGTCTTGCGCATTGTTCTTTACGTTGTACTGGCACCAAAAGAGTGCTGTTGTGGCTGTTTGACTTTTAAGTCATTATTTGGCTTATTTCCCACCAACCCATGCCACTGACACCTGCTGTCCTGCTTACTTCTGATGTGCATGGCTCACTAAGACCTCACTATGCAGAGTCATGAGAGAAAGACATCCATAAAGTATGCAGAATTTGAATTACATCATGTTGATCCTTAACATGCCTAGAGCAATGGGACAGGTACCTTGGGACTGATGGAGTTCAAGACACTCTGGTTGAAGATTAAAAGATATCTGGTAACTATTCTCCCTTGCTGGGCATCCTCTGGACTCTAGATCTTTTCCTCCGTTCTGTTTCTAGGTTCTCACCTCTCTCTTACACTCATTCCTGGGCTATAGCAGACACTAGTCTGACCAGAGCTGTAACCATGGCCAAAACCAATGCAAATCCTGGACATACAATTCAGGATGGAACAAAAGGCAACGAGAAAGATGTGCATGTGAATTCCTGCACTGAAAACTCAAGCATTTGGAGAGCATTTGAAGCCAGCATTGGCTCACATCTTTCCTCTCTGATCTTTGCTCTGAACTCTTCTTGGGGAGACTCAATGAAGTCCCTTCTTAATTGTATCCCTAGCCTTCCAAGAAACCAGTGGGGTGGAGGGGAGATGGTTCTGGTAGACCCATAAATGGCTATTTTCTAACTGGAATTTGTCTTCCTATTTAGGAGATTTATCAGGAGACTGATTATAACCACTGTGGGACTATGGATGCCCACGAGATGAGGACAGCTCTTAAGAAGGCAGGTGAGGACAAAACACCTTTCAGACAAAGTCTTGGGAGCCAGGTGTACACATAACAAGAAATAGCTATTCCTGTTTTCATGACTGCTAATGATCATCAGGGCTTCTTATCCTGTTTGGATATCAATGTTTCAGCAAAGATTCGTTGAGTATTTTCTGTATAAAGGGAAAGGAACCTTCTTGATACTGGGAAGGTAACAACAATCACAGAGGGTGAGCTGTGAGGGAGGCAGACAAGGGATAGCTGGAGAGGCAGTCCCCTCACCTTGTCTAATTATTCTTGCTGTGGCTAACATAACCCATAGTGTTAGACTAGTGAATTATATTTATTATGGAGTTCTTGGATGGCAGAAATTGTTAAGTATTCGATTGCTAACAGAAAGGTTGGCAGTTTGAACCACCTTAGAAGAAAAACGTCTGGCAGTCTGCTTCCCCCCCAAAAAATCATCCACTGAGAATCCTGTGGAGCACAGATCTACTCTGACACACACAGGGCACCATGAGTGGATCTACTTATGAAAATTCATCCATTGAAAACCCTGTGGAGCACAGTTCTACTTGGACACACATAGGGTTGCAATGAACCAAAATTAACTCCACTTCAACTGGATTTAAAAAATTTTACATTTTATTGTGAATTGTGTGAAATTTTACAGAGCAGATCATCAGATTTCCATTCAACAAGTCACACACATTTTGTTTCATCTCACTGGTTGCAATCCCCTCATGTAACATCAGTTATCCCACCTCCTCCCTGTGGTTCTTGCTTCCATTCCTTTATTTTTCCTAACTCTTCTGAACTTTTGTCTTCGGGTAAATGCTGCCATTTTGATCTCAAATGGTCGAGTATCCTACGGTCTATATACCTCATTAGAGTTGTTATTGTTCTTCTTATAGTCCAACCTATTTTTGGGCTGGAAATTGAGCCACTTGGATGAGTTCAGTTTCAGGTGACTTAGGACCATAGTTTCAGGGTTCTAGTAGTCTCTAAGGATGGTATTTTTTTATGATTTTGAATTTTGTTCCACATTTTTCTCTCACTCTATCCAGAACCTTCTAATGTGATCTTTCTGGGACCAGTTGGTAGTGGTAGCCAGGCACCATCTAGTTCTTTTGGTTTCAGGGTAATGGGGACTGATGTTCACATGGTCCATTAATCCACTGGACTAATTGTTCCCTGTGTCTTTGATTTTCATCATTTGTATTTCCTCTGGACAGGGAGAGACCAATACCTGCATCTTAGGTGGTCACTCATGAGCTTTCAAGACCCTAATTGCTACTTACCAAATAAGGATGCAGAGCACTGTCTTTATGGCAACTGGATTTTTATATGTGTTATAGTGTGAGCTAGTGTTGAAGCTCCAGTTCTGTCCTGATGACCAGGGAGGCGGCTAACCCTGATGAGGGTTATCTCAAAGGAGATCAAGTGGACATGGTCTGGTGCTCACTTGGAATTAACACAGGTTAATATGAATAACACCACTTAGCAACTGTACAGTCCAAGACTTTCAAAAGACCACCATCTCCCCTCCACCACACAGTTTTCTTGGAATGCCAGGAATACCATAAGAAGAGACTCCATTGAGTCTCCCCAAGAAGAATTCAGAGTAAAGGTAAGAGAGCAAAGATGAGAACCCATGCTGGCTTCTTCTGCTCTCTGAATGATTGGATTTTCAGTGCAGAGACTGATACGCACATCTTTCTCATTGCCTTTTGTTCCATCCTGAAATACATGTCCAGGCTTAACAATAGCATGGTTTTGACCACGGTTATACAGAGTCACAGCAGGTCCTCTGCACCGCCAGCCACTTCTGTTTTTATTGGAGAAGGCACTGAGTGCAGCTGGGACCTGTGCTTCTCTGCTCCTCAGGCTTCACCCTCAACAACCAAGTGCAGCAGACCATCGCCATGCGGTATGCAAGCAGCAAACTCAGCATTGACTTTGAAGCCTTCATTGCTTGTGTGATCCGACTGGAAAGCCTCTTCAGTGAGCCCCTCTCTCCTTTACCCCTATTACTTCTCACAACGCAGGGTGTGGCAGAGGGCAAGACCTGGAGGCAGAGCCAACCATTGCCTTTGGGTGACCATGGGTCAAGGACAATTCAGGGGTGTCTCTGTGGCACCTAAAGGGTCTGAGTTAGTCTGGGCGGGCCAGACCCAAGGGAAGAGGCTTGAAGAAGGACTTGAAAAGCTGCCGTCCAGATTTTTCTGCACCTACGATGTGCAGACACTGGTCCAAAATGAACAAGTCTAAGTTATTGTTCTTAAACAGTTTGTGTGTCTACTCACATTTATTCCTGCATGGAGGATGTACTGAGAATAACCTACTGTGGAGGTGATAGGGGCCCCTATGCAAGGTAATGGAGTCCTGGTGTGGCACTGTAGGATCAGCACTGAACTGTGAACCACAAGGTCGGCAGTTCAAACCCACCATCTCCTCCTCAGAAACCCTATACAGGGCTGCTATGAGTCAACACTGATTCAATAGCACTTAACAATAGCATGGACGGTAATAGGCATTCCCCTGCTACCTTGGATTCAGGTTGAGGCATACCATTAAGTGAGGGGGGTTGCCTTTCACTGAGGGGTGAGAGGTGGGTGGTAAATTCAAAGGGAAAAGGTCAGATGTCTAGAATGAAGCTTTGGGATTGGATTGCCCACAAACGGGTAGTAACCACAGTCTGTTACTCCCTCAGTCCCTAATTTACTACTGAAGAGTGACAGGTTTCTGATATGAGGCATCTAAGGGTAGAGATGTTGACAATGAGAGGTTCGTCCATTTGGGCAGGTGACATTTCTACCTAAAAAGCTCACCCTGGGCACTGGATCTGGATTTAGCTTTTGAAGGTCCTTAGGGGCTAGGTGGGAGTTGCCAGGTGTGTGTGGAGTAGGGTGGAGATATGATGCATAGCAAGGAAAAGGGTGACAGGGATGGGGTGGGCAGAGGCAGCTTTCTGACAGTTTCTGAGTCTAGGAGAATTCTCATCGAATTTCATTGTTTCTCTGGTGTTTCAGAAATGTTCAAGCTTCTAGACAAGGACCAGAATGGCATTGTCCAGCTATCTCTGGCAGAGGTAAGTGGATTGGGTTTTGATGAATTGTTTGCTGATGGTTCTTTGAAATTCTTGGACTGTATAGATATTGAATGGTATTTACTCATGTCAACCTGTCTTAATCCCATGTGAACATCATGCATGTTCTCTGGCACGGATGGTGAGGAAGAATGTAATAGCCTGTTATATAGTCTTTCAAATATCTTCATTTATTACTGTTATTATTTTAAAGATAAGCTACAGCTAGATTTATATTATTTTTATATTTCATAATATTATTTTATATTATTATTTATGTTTTATATTATTATTTTAGAGATAAGCTACAGCTACACTCATTTCAAGGACACAAGCCCTTGTTAATTTGGTTGGAATTGTGGGTGGTAGAAACAATTCAGAGTCTAATTTGTAGGACTATGTGTTTTAGATTGGTATGTAGAAGGACGCTGGAAACAAAACATTAACTTGCAACAACGTAGAATGAATATGCAAAATAAATGAGTACTTTACTGTATACAAAGTCATATAAGGTTGTATGCAGAAAGCTAAGGCTTCCAACCAGTTCTAAAGGGTATGTAAATAAGGACCCCATATGCATTGGATATGGAGCTTGGCTGAAAGCAGAGAATACCAGGAAGATGTTTACCTGTGCTTTATTGATTATGTAAATACTTTAGACTGTGTGAACAGGACAAGCTATGGATAACAACACGAAGAGTGAAGAGTGAATAGTCCAGAACACTTAATTGTATTCATGAAAAACCTGTACATAGACCAAGAGGCAGTTGTTTGAACAGAATAAGGGGACCACGGAATGGTTTAAAATCAGAAAATGTGTGTGCCAGGGTTGTATTCTTTCACCATACTTATACACTCTGTATTTGAGCAAATAATCCAATAAAATGGATTATATGAAAAAGAACATGGTATCAGGATTGGAAGAAGACTCATGAGTAACCTGCTATATATGCTGATGATACAATCTTGCTTACTGATAATGAAGAGGACTTAAAATACTTGCTGATGAAGATCAAAGGCCACAGCCTTCAGTGTGGGTTGCATGTTAATGTAAAGAAAACAGAAATCCTCACCATTGACCAACAAACAACATCAGGATAAATGGAGAAAAGATTGAAGTTGTCAAATATTTCATTTTGCTTTTTTCCACTATCAACACTCATGGAAGCAGCAGACAAGAAATCAAATGGTGTATCAAAAAATGTTGGTTTTTGATGTCAGACAAGAAATCAAAAGATGTCAGTTTGAGGAGTAAGGTGAGTCTGACCCAATCACTTGCCTCATATGCATGTGAAAGTTGGACAATGAATAAGGAAAACCTTACAAGAATTGATGCATTGAGTTACAGTGTCGGAGAAGAATATTAAAAGTACCATGGACTGCTCAAAGAACAAACAAATCTGTCTTGGAATAAGTACAATCAGAAAGCCAGGACGGTGAGACTTCATCTATTTATCATACTTCATACTTCAGACATGTTATATGGAAGGGCAAGTCCCTGGCGAAGAATATCATGCTTGGTAAAGTGGAGTGTCAGCAAAAAAGAGTAAGACCCCAAATGAGATGGCTTGGCACAGTGGCAGCAGCAATAGGATAATCAAGCATAACAATTGTGAGGACGGCACAGGACCAGGCAGTGTTTTGTTGTGTTGTGCATAGGGTCACCATGAATTGGAACCAACTCAATGGCACCTAGCAACAACATGCATTACATAGCAACCAGTGATATGAACAGGAAACAAACAGCTATGCCCTGTTCAAAGATGGTGGCCAATCGCATTGCTTTGAATGTGTATTGCTTTCCATTAGTCCTGCTAGTAATTTCAGTCTCAAAAGTCTTGCCACGGTCTTTCCTCCTGAAAGTTTCTGGAGCCTGATATGGGAGATGGGATTATGGGGCATAGCTATTTGTTTCCTACTTGGGTCAAAGTACCACAGACAATAGATTTAGTAGCTATGAAACATGAAATTATCAAACCATTTTGAACCGGTTCAAAGCCCTCTATAAAACACCATAGCACTTCCATTAGGGAGGGCTGCGGTCCTGAAAAGAAAAGTCCTTTGTGGCCTGAGGGGTTGGCAGAAGGTGTGGCAGTGTGCTGTGGGCCCAGGCCAGCAGGGAGACATTGACGCTCAATGTGCACCTGAGGCAGTAGAATTAGAGGACCAGTTATTCTTGATCTAGCTAAGTTGCCTGGACCCAATGTTCTTGTCTTCTCTAACATGGGAATGTCCAGTAATCTAGGGAAGACTTTCCTAGAAGCATATTTATGGATTCCTACAGACACCCAGAACATAGGGTTGAACCTAAAATTGAATAGATATACTTGAATGTGTGCTGTATAAACAGAAGCATACATATACCTATTTCCGAAAGTTTCTTTTGGGGTCTAGAGCTTTTTCCAAGTCATATTTCCATAGTGCTCTCCTGAAGAGTTAGTGGCTTTGTTAGAAGCATTCCCATTTCCTATTGTTGAGCATAGACTTACTGAAGGATGGAGAGACTCAAAGATCTTTTCTGTGTGAGGCAGAGGACACCCACTGCCCAAGAATCTGCAGCCTTCCTCCCAAGAAGCAGTGTACTCACTCCAACTTTCTTTTTTCTAGTGGCTGTGCTGTGTTTTGGTCTGACCAGCGTTTTGGACGTCGGTGATACTCTCTGCTTTTTTCTTTTTTTTCCCCCCACCTTCTTTATAATTTTGTGACTATGTGTCCATGCCTGCATGATTTGATTACACATATCTCTCTTGTCTATGGCTATTTCTTGAGATCCTGGCCTGTCCCAGAACTGAGTATTTGGTAGAAACCCTGGGTCTCTTTTCAGCAGCACTGAGCTACTCAGCTGGCCATGGGGGAAAGCAACCAATTAAAGTTGTTGGTTAAAGTAGTTCCACCTCTCTCTGGTGATATGCAATCTGGGAATGGCTTTGAGATTTTCATACTTTAGGAAAGAAGATATTCTTGGGGAATGACATGGCCCACAGCTGCTGAAAGATTGCAAATGTAGGTTCATTTCTTGGAAAAGAGGCCGACAACAGACTGCACTGCTTCCCAGGGTCCCGCTTCAGCCCACCCAGGAAGGGAGCAGGGATGGACTACAGAAGACTGGACTTTATTCTTCCTTCCTTACAGACCACGGCTATATTGTTCATGTCAGCACCTGCCACGTGTTAGGTAAATTCTTGCTGAGGGGAATTCTTACCTGACAGATAGCTAGAGGGGAAATGCAATTCAGGTTAGTTTTGCTCACAGCTAAACGCAGGAATCTTTGTTGCTGGTAAGAAAATAAACACCACCGCCTAGTGTCCTGATGGGCAGATGGAGATTGAGCTGGCTCTTTAGATGCAGAGTTTGGAAATGAAATATAAAGGAGGCCAAGCTACTGGAGAGAAAACCCATACACACACTCATACATACCCCCATACATATTAATCTGATTCTAGACTAACTTTCTACTTCCTTCAGGACATGACTCAGACATATGGCAAAACATGAGTCAACTTAATGTTGTCTTAATTTCCCCCAAGACCCAGTAGGGATGAAGCACAGGTCCTGGACAGAGGGAGAGGGAAAAGCCCCAGGTCTCTCCTCTTGAGGTAGGTTCGGCTTTTCTGATGGTAGGAAGGAGGTATATTTCTCTTGATGATCCTTCCTTGTCCAATCAGAGCTGGAGGTGCAGGGAGAGGTCCAGTACTCCCTGCAGTGGGCCTCAGCAGGTGTGTGCCTTGCCATGCTCAGGCTGCATGGAGAGACCCTGGCCAATCATTAGGGGCCCAGCTGGTGGTGTTCTAATACTCACTGAGGGTGGGTTACAAACCCCAATCTTTACAAGTATGGTGCTAGAAGCCAATTCTCCTTTAGATTTTACATGTAATGTGTCTGTCCACATTAAAAGTGTTGTAGTATAAACAAGCTGCACTGGGAAGTTTTATATTTAAAGCCTACATGTTTGAATTATGGAGTCCTGGTGTGGCACTGTGGGTTAATGCGCTAGACTGCAAAGCCGTTTGAACTGCAAGGTCGGTTGTTCAAACTCACCAGCTGCCCCTCGGAAACCCTATACAGGGTCGCTATGGGTCAGAATTGACTCAATGGCACTTAACAACAACAACAGCATGCTTTAATTACTTTAGGAGATAGTCTGTCTAGTAGTCAAAAAATTAGCCTCATTAAAAAAAGACATTTGCTTTGGGGTTCTCAGGTCCCTAGGTAAGTAAGGATTGTCCTGGGGACTCTTGACTGAGATAACTCATGAACTATTGTTCGGTTTCCTCTTAAATTCCTTGTCGTTTGTCTTATGTCCTACTCCTCAGTGGCAGATTCTTGCCTTCCATGTGGTCGACTTGGGTTTGATTCTCAGCCAATCTATCTCATCAGCAGCCACCACCTGTCTGTCAGGGGAAGCTTGCGTGTTGCTATGATGCCGAACAGGTTTTGGCAGAGCTTCCAGACTGAGACAAATTAGAAAGAAAAGCCTTATGATCTATTTCTGAAAATCACTCAGGGAAAACTCTATGGATCAGAATAATCTGATCTGCAACCGATCATGGGATGCTGCGAGACTGGACAGTGTTTTGTTCCATTCTGCCTGGGGTTGTCATGAGGTGGGGCAGCTAACAGTGACCTTGACAATGACAACAACAGATGTTGCTGTTAGGTGCCTTCTTCATGGCCTCTTGTGGCATCTGAGGATGAACAGTCTGGAATGGAGAATACTACACTGTGGATGCCTGAGGAAGGCTCCCACAGGCTTCCTTTCTCAGAGATTCTGATTACTCATTTTTTTTTTTCTCTCTCTTAAAGAGCTTTTTATTAAACAGCAAAACAGAATTGCAATACAAGTTTTAAATGTTTGTCAGTTAGATCACGAAAAGGATGCAAAATGCCTACAGTATGACTACTATGTATTCATGCAAATAAATAGTTTAACAAATCATACTTATACCAACTCAATCATAAGATTATTCCATGATTAAAAGTTGCCCAAGTCTCATAACACACAACTCTTACTAGTGGCTCGCTCTTCCTATTGTAATGAATATTTTAACATTGCTTCGGATAGATTCCCTTTTTAAATGGAACCTACAAGTGAATTTGTAAAAGCTGTTTAGTAAAAGGATGCCTAAAACTCAACAAACCAAAGAGGGGCTTACAAAAAAATTTCTAGAAATGGTGAGATAAAATACCGCGATAGATTATCTATTAATTAGTACATGCGAACAATTCTCCCATTCTCTTCATGAATCTGATACGAATAAACTCTGAAGAGTTTTTTTTTTTTTTACAAAAATTGATCTTCTGGATGCTATAAAGAAACCTTAGGAGACCAAACTCCAAGTGTTCTCTTCTAGATGTGGTTTACATTAGGTTACTCATATACGTTGTAACCCAAAACATTTGGGAGTTGGAAACGACTACTTAACAAATATTTTTCCTGCCCTATTTCTTTTTCCCCAAGGTTTTTTATGTTCAATACATACAACCAGAGCTCTCAAATACCAAGCCGATCATTTTTACAGAAGAAGTATCAAAGAATAAATCTTCCCAATATGAAAGTTCAAAGTATCAAGGGATAATCTTCATTTTTATAGTCTGTTTTCAATTTGTTAAAAGGAAAACCAGCAGTCCTATCTTATTAGTAATTAAAAGAAATGATAGGTCCTAGCTGAGAAAGTTGTTTCAACAATTAGTTCAAGTGGTACGTTCATAAATGCTTAACAATTAAAATTACTTTTACAAATGTGGGACCATCTTTTTTTCCCCCTGAAGGGGAAGGGAAATGGAAGGAAGAGGGCAATGGAAAAGAGGCACAAGCCAGTGGGCAGCCTACATAGAAAGCTGTGCATTCAGTACACAATTTGGTCACTCTTTCAAAATATGGTAGCTGTTTTCTTGTGTCATATTTTACTACACCTATAAGAAAACACAGTGCTAAACCTAAAAAAGCAAATTTGATAAAACATTCATTTTCAAGTTTTCATAAATATATGC